CTCACATTTTTCCCAATCACGCAGATAACTCTCATTTTTTTCTGCAGTGCTTTACTCTATTCTTCAGCTATTTTTTTTTCATTGCATAATGCTTGTCAGCACTTTTCATTGCTTCTGCATATGTCTATACAATAAACACACGCCCTTTCAAAAATGTCAATGCTTGTTTTGAGCTCATTTTCTAATAAGCCTGGATAGTTACTTGAGCTCCATCAAAGTAGGCACATGTAGGCAAACAGTTGGAAGGTTGGCACTAGCCGTATTCGGTATTAGGAAATAAGACTTGTCCAGATCAACTGGTCAAAATAAAATTCTGAAAATGTCTGCCATAGAGCCCATCTCTAACAAGCATCAGAATGGGTTATTTATTTCCATTCTAATTATTTCCCTCACAAAACACTCTGCAAAACTACTGGTATATATATGCAAACATTCTTTTTAACAACCTAGCCCAGACAGACACAATGTGGGGAGATCATTCTGCTGCATCACTGTTACAGAGTAGGTTGTTAAATGTTAAATGCAGACCACATTTGGACAGATTCATTATAAATCTTGCTCCTTTTGCCGTGACAAAAACTGTGAGAATTTCCAAAGTTTTATTCATTCAACTCCTTAACTTTATTCTGTAAAATTAACCACTGATTAATTTCTGTCTCTTAGTGGCTATACAACCTGTTCTATCTATCTTGATCAGGTCAAGTTTGTAAAGAAAAACTTGGCATGGCAGTGTCAAGCAGAGGCTTTGTGGGAGATTACTTGTAAGGAATGAAGGGAGGTGAACTAATTCAGAGGGAAATTATTTATAGATTCATTTATTACAAGGGGCTTGTTTACCACCTGCTTCCATATACTCAGGTTTGCAATAGTTCAAACGGCAAAAGTAAAACCACAAAAATCAAGAACCATCAACAAGATTAAAATCAAAAACAAGAAATGTTCCCCAACCCACCCAAAGTTCCAAATGCAACATTTAGAAATGTTGAGAAAGGAAGGAGGTGAAAGCTTCTAATGAAATGCTTTTCTTGCAAAATTATTAGTGAAGGCCTAGCTCCAAATTAGAGCATTCACGCAGCAAGTGTTGCTGAAACTGTAATTAGACATTCTTAGCAAAGCAGCCTTTGGGGTGAACTGCAATCGCTTGGCTTGTCAATTCATTTGAACAGGAGGAAGAAAAGCACAACCAATCCTCAAAACAGAGACTCTGCCAAGGGAGACTCCAACAGCCGTCTTCTCAAGGACACAGATATGAAATGGGCTAGAAAGCCTATCCCTTCTGTAACAAAAACTTCCCCAAACAATATCCAGGTGTTTGCTACATGAGCAATGTAACGTACTGCTGAACTCTAAAATATCTGTTTGAAATAAAGAGCATCCTCTTCTTTATCCTGCTCCTCCATGAATTCTGCCTTTGATAAATCCTTTTTGGATTTGTCCAAGACCCTTTAAAACCATCTAACTTAGTGGCTATCACAACTATGATATCTGCATTGTCGTAGAAAAACAAATCTTGGATTCTGGCTGATAAGTAGATCTTCTGCTTAGTGATTTCATCATTCTAAGCTGGCCCCAATATATACTCAGTTGTATATTACACAATATTCAGGCAACAGTCTACTGTGTGGATATACGGCCATTCCAGAGTGTAGAACTAGAACTACTGAAAAAAGAACTGTATCTCTGCAAAGATCCTGGTGTTTCTGAAATTTCCTGGGAAAATAATATCTCTGATTCTTTATACATACATACATACATACATACATACATACATACATAAAAACTAACTCCAATCTCTTTTGATTCAGCACCTACTCCTTTAGATGTTCAAGTTTGGAAAACTGCTCTGTCAAAGCAGTAGAAAAGGGGATTTTTCAGAATTGGCACATTCCTGTCATGTATTTATTAGTTCCTTCCCATCCTGGCAAAAAGAAGTTGTGCAGAGTACCCTGTTTCTGGAAGCCCATTTCTACGCTAACAATATGTTAATGCGGCCAAAAGGCCTAAGATAATTATCCTACCAACATGGTCATCTGCAGGGGTGGAAAGGAGGCAAAATGACAGTACATGCATGATTGATACCATCACACATAACTTACCTATTTGTGTCAGATGTTCCGATGGAAATACATAATGGAAGCGTTTGTGTGATGATTTCATTCTGCATGTCATTTTGATGTCACTGTGATCTGTCGTGGATGCCTTGCTGTGTGTCTGCAGTCTAGGCTCATTCCTCTACTTACCCCACAAATCACTACACAGTTCTGATTGACTGCAATGTTAGCTTTCCACGACTGCCACCCAAAGCAGATTTGGACAGTGCAGGTCAGCTGATGAGGTACTTGGGCCACAAGCGAAGCATCCATATAGATATGCTAATCAAAAGTGCGAAGGCTCAGCATGGCTACTTTGATGGCCAACCCAAACATCTTCCGGGTAGGTGTGTCCATGCCCAGATCCTTTCTATGGTTAGTGCAGTGGAAGTGACTTGCCCAGAAGACTTCAGGAGGACCTCAAAGCAGCTGCACAAAGGCTCCATACAGCTGTGGTTACTTCCTTGCTTCATTGTGGATCTTGAGGAACCCATGTCAAACAATCTGCACAAGCTTCATAACCCTCTCCCATATTTAATAAATTACATCACTTAAAGAAACACAGTTCAGTCATCTGTGTTAAAGTTGAGTTTAAAACAATATTTGAGACTTCTGGCTATCTCCTTGAAATGTCATTTCTTTCCAAAAAAGCTCCTGGAATAGGGAAGCTCCATCCCTTGCTGGCTGCAAGCTTTGTTGCTTAAGAAAACTTTAGAAAAAAAAATTAGGCCCACTTCTAATTTCTTTTCCTTTTCTTGAAATGTAAGACCTGTGCCAAAACTTTAGTGCAGATCCATAATAGTTTATTTGCTACCTGTTAGCAGAACACACTGGAACCTGTCCTGAATAGTAAAGTAATAAAATAAAACAAAACAAAATAAAATCTTGGGCTTTCTGAAGTTCAAATACTTTAAAGAAATTTCCATGTGACACTGAAGTAGTACACAAGTCATGCGTTCAATCAACCAAGCATGTCATCCACATATGATCCTTTAACTGGTAATTGCTGGCAATTCTCCCCTGCCCATTAAGTACTGCTATACAGACACTGGTCCAAGCATTTATGATTGGCAACACGCCTTCAACACTCTCCTGCAGAAAGTCAGTTCTTCTGTAAGCTCCACTCTGCTCTAGAGCAGCGTTTCCCAACCCCAGAATGTGGGAATTCTGGGAGTTGAAGTCCACCCCTCTTAAAGTTGGGGAGGGTGAGAAATGCTGCTCTGGAGCATCTAAGAGGTTCTGCCTCCGTGAAACAGCCTCGTTTAGTCTACAGCTCGAGAGGACCATCCGGCATCACCACTCTGAGGCTGTCCAGGGTCCTGCACAGAACAGCTACTCTCCAGCGTTCCGATAGGAAAATGTTCTTTATTGGCTACCCAGATGATGGGGGGGGGGGGGAGGAAAAAGAAAGTTCCTTCGGATGATGCACCTTCCATATATGCGGCATCAGAGGAGGCGGGCCTAGGCCCAAATCGTTCCGTCCGAGGACAAGCGTCTCTAGCAGCCACCCCGGAGGCCACTTGCTAACCCGGAGTGCCTTCCTTTCCTACAGGCTCGGCCCGCACTCGACACGCTGCGCTGAGCCGACTCACACGCCGCTAAACTCAGCCTGCCGGACAAGGCGCAGAGGCGGACTCCCCGCGGCACGCCGTCCGCCCAGTCGGCGCAGCTGCGGTGGCCTCGGCCAGCACGTGCCGCCAGCCAGACCCGCCGACCGGCCCCGCCTTCCAGCCGCTTTCCCAGGCGAGCCCGACCCTCCGAAGCGGCTCTGCGCTCCCGCGACTGCGGCGATGCGAACGGCTTTCCTTCCGCGCAGCCTTCGCAGGGCCACCGAGCGCACGGCGCACGCGACGCTCCACGCTACCGGCATCCCGGCAGAGCGCTTCCAAGAAATGCGCATTCGGGCTGGGCTTCCCCGGCGTCGCGGCGGAAGACCCCCGCGCCGCCTTAAG